GACCTAACGTCCTAAGAAATTTCATCTTACATATGAAGAGCTCCTTAAGAGCAGGTAGCTGTCCAAGCGGTGGCAACTCGAAGCAATAATGACAGCCTTCGAGGCGCATAACTTTTATTTTATTGAAGGCAGAGTCTCCCAACCAGTTTGGGAAGCTGGTCCCGCCATAACGTTTGACGGTCAATTTCTCCAAATTCATGCAAGGTTGGAGCTTGTCAAGTACATCTCTCACTTTTGCGGAATCATTTGAGTCTTCATTGCCCCATTCGAACTCTAACTCCTTCATATCCTTCTTATTCTTCAAATTGGCTTGCCCAGCATCCTTAGCATCAACTACATTTTGCAGTTTAAGTTTTCCTCCAAGATGTGGAAGCTCCCCCAATTCCCCAATGGTTGACCCAGTAGATTTCCCCACAACAAAAGCAGTCAAAGTTCTCAAACTTTTTAGTCTACTCATTTGCGATGGCATCTCTGTAATTTTAGTTCCACTCACATCAAGATGATACAAACTAATCAATTCTGTAATATCGACGGGCAATTTAGTAAGAGATATACAATCTTCCAACATTAAGCTCTGTAAATTTATCAATTTTCTCATGTCAGCAGGGAATTCAACGAGTGAGTAACAGCTTGACAATCGTAACGTCTGCAAATTGTACAAACTGCAAAGTACACCAGGTAACCTTTCAATTGCAGTACCAGAGAGATCCAAATAGCGCAAGTGAATAATATTTTTAATAGAATCAGGTAGTTGAGTGACATTCCTATAACTTGACAATGATAACACCCGTAAACATCTGTGTGACGACAACAAATCTTGTACAACCTTTTTACTTAGATAATAATTTTTATAAGAGTTATATGGATTTAAAGAGGTAGGTAGGAAGGTCCGCAAACACTTAGCCCCCTTTAATGCCTCAAATTTAAGAGAAACATCATATTCTTCCCTAGCATATGACAAATGGCGAACTCTTTCTACTTCATGTGATTCCCTCCCTTCCCACCTGGAACAAAATCCTTTAGACATGAACACAGCCAAGTCATTGATGAGATCATGCATAACGAAACTTGATTTCCCCGACGTTTGAAACAATGATCGGGATAACAGTTCATCAAAATATTCCTTAGCCACTTCTTCCATGTTGTCCCCATTCTCCGCTTGGGGAATTAAACCTTCCGCCATCCAAAGAAAAACAACGTCTTCTACCTTGAGTTCATAGTCTTTTGGAAAAATTGAACAATAAATAAAGCATCGCTTTAACTTAGCTGGAAGATAATGATAACTCAATCCTAGAGCAGGAAGAATGTCACTTTTCTCGGAAGGTAACTCCCAAATGCTGTTGTTTAGTACTCTGTTCCATACCTCGGAGTCTAGCCTGGAGCGTAACAAACCGCCAAGTGTTTGTGCAGCTAAAGGCAACCCATTGCACTTTCGTGCAATTTTCTTGCCGATTTCTTCCAAGCTTGGATATGCACTACAGCTTACATTTCGAAACGCATGTTTTGCAAGTAACAACCAACAATGTTCATGTGACAATGGTTCCAAGGGTTGAGTGGGAACATTTTGCATAAAAGATGCTACATTTTTGTTCCGTGTTGTTACGATAACTTTACTTCCCCTTGCCCCTGAAGTAAAAGGAGTTTGGAGGCAGTTCCAATCAGTATATTTCTCATTCCAAAGGTCATCCAACACAAATACAAATTTCTCCCCCCTCAGTTGTTCTCTTAGTTCAACTTGAAGCAAATTCAGATCTGTTGTATTGCAAGTTTTTGAAGTGACTGACTCAAGAAGAGTTTTAGTTACCCTGATAGCATCATAGTCTTCTGAAACACAAGCCCAAGCTTTAAGTGTAAAATGCCCTTTCACCTTATCATCATTGTAAAGCATGCGGGCAAGGGTTGTCTTGCCAACCCCGCCCATTCCAACAATAGTGATGACGGACACATCTTCCTTGCTTGCATCATCAGAGAACAACACTTTGGATAAATTTTCTTTGACTTCATCTCTACCATATACAAAAGGTTCATGAACCAAGGAAGTTGTTGGAGTTCTTTGTGAAACCTTCCTCCCAACAACTTCTGTCAAACCAAGAGCACCTTTCAATTGTACGAAGTCTTCTAATTTTCGTAACAACTCTTGTATCTTAACATTCATGCTTTGATAAAACTTATTACGAGAAGTAGGGAGGAAGTTCCACACCTTGTTGGTAAATTTGTCCGCTGTTTGAGCTTCACCTTCCAGCTTGCATCGCAAAGATTCATAGTTGATCTCATCCAGCAAGTCTACTGCATGTTTGAGGTCGTCAAGCCACTCTCTCACAGCTGGTTTCTCAGTTTGCTTCTCCTCTGCATCATCAAGCACTGCATTCAAGGTCAACAGCGTCCTCTTCAGTTTCATGAGGAGAGGTTGATCGAGTTTCTTGTGCCGAAATAAGTCGACGAACTTGGGTGAAGCAATTCTGTAACAAATCACCTGGATGGAAGCAGAAATAAAGGCCTCTCCGATCAAAGCTCCAGCCATTTTTCTCTTCTTTTCTTTGCAAGGGAATTGGATGAAGTAATATTCCAAGGTTCGCAGATAGCTCAGCTGGAAATACAGGTAAGGCAGTATGAAAGCTGGAAATACAGGTAAGGCAGTATGAAAGCTTTTTGTGATTGTAATTATATATTATGTACCGTTGGTTGGCTGTTTTGTCAGTGTCCGTGTTGTTTCAAGTTGTATCAGTTATTACAACAAAGAAAGAAACAATTCATATATATATATATATTACTATTCAAAGTGAGTATGCGACCTAAATGATAATGAAGACGACGTGGAGCAGCTTTGTGTGATCTTAAATTAATCCTGAGTTTTAAACCGTTCATGAAGACGTCGTGGAACATTTTCAAACCACGAACTATTTTCTTTTCTCCTTATGATTATTACAAAAATACCCTTGATGTACTGAGGAAAAAGACCATTCGACTGATGCTATAGAGCATCTTCAACACGTAAAAGAAAAATAAACTAATTCTCTACTTCAACAAAAGTGGCATGTTGCCTATCTGTAATTAATTTTAAAAATTGTCTTTCTCTTGGGGACAAGTTCGTCAATACCATTATGAATTCAAATTGTGCAAGTGGGTTCTTGGGACCCACACGGCCTAAGTGATAATACTCCGGTGTGGACTGTTGGAGAGTGGAGGATGACAAGACAACAACGACAATTCAACGGTCCGCAAGTGGGAACAGACTCGAATGCCGTTGATCTCTTTGCGAATCTGCGGCTCTTAACAGATTTCAATAGATATGGTAGAGGGAAGAAAAGTGGGGGTTTATTCAATCCATAGAGCTCATAGATGCTTAATGACTTGTTTCATAAGACTATTATCATTGAGTTTTATATACTTTTTTGTTTATTTTATGAATAGTATCATCTTTTAATATTTATCAAAGTAGTGTATAACCAAAAGGAAATTACTTATAATATTTATCTTTTGGGCCAGTTTGGCATTGCTGTGCTGTAAAAATAATCGTTGTCAGATTTGCTGTGAGAGAAATCAGCTGTGAGAGAACACAGTTTGGTGTTTGGTAAACTTTTTGTTAGAAGTGTTGTTGGTATAGATTCCCGTATAATCAAAAAATAATTGCTGCATAATCATTAAATCCAACGCCTCTTTGAAATTGATTTCTGTATGATCAGAAAATGAAAGCACCTTATTAGCTACTTTCTCAAATAGCTTTCTCTCACAGCAATTTTTAACAGTAAGTGATTTTCTCATAGTTTACCAAACGGGTTGGGCTTCCCAAAAATTTTTAAAAATCACTTATCACCCCAAATAAGCAATACCAAACGGGCACTTTGTATATGATAACTCATGAGAGCATACATGAAACCAAAAATGTAGCAAAAAAATAATTTGGTACATTTTTAGATTTGATTATGTATTGATATCCACCACGGGGTATGTTTTTACTTGTGGTGGAGAACTGATTAGTTGAAGAGTGGTGCTACAATCTGTCATTGCTTTGTCTACTACCGAAGTAGAGTATATGGCCCTAATGGAGGCTTCTAAGGAAGCGTTGTGGTTGACATAATTGGCTAAAGAGTTCGGGATAGCTCAAGACTTGGTGGTGATACAAAGTAATAGTCAAAGTGCTATATATTTAGTCAAGAATCAAGTGTTTCACAGAAGGTCTAAGCATATTGATGTACAGTACCACCGGATAAAAGATTGGGGGAACGATGGGGATATTGCAATAGAGAAGGTTCATATAGATGAGAACGCTTAGGATTGCTTGACCAAGCCAGTCACAGTTGAGAAGTTTAGACACTGTTTAAGCTTGCTCAATCTTATTACATGTTGAAGATTGAGGTGGAACTCCTGAGAATTACTAGAACGATTTCTAAGAGGTTTGAAGAGGTTCTAGGGGTCAATGATTTTCACAAGGTGTTTAATGCTCGCCAAGGTGGAGATTGTTGATGTTAGCTCACCTAAATATGCTGAAAGATTGAAGGAAACGGGCAGTCAAACGAGTTGAAGATGTATTGACTGGGCTCTGGCGATCGAGCAGCAGAGGGAAGGTTTTCATCCAAGCGTAGGTGCTCGAGCGCTTGCTCGAGCTGCACGAGTGGCGCTCGAGCAGGACACACGAATCCAGTGCGTATCCCTGGAAAATCTGGACAAATTTTCTCTTAGTTTTGGGGTCCTTTAAGTTTCCTATTCCTTGTATAATTGTACTAAAGCCCTACGACATATAAATAGGCACTTTAGCGTTAGGCTATTGTAACGTGAGAAAGCTAAGAAATCAAATTGGGTTTGAGCCAAAGGTGAGAGAAAAGAGAGTCAAAGGAGTTCTTTCGTATTAGTTAATTTCTTGGAGATCACCAAAAGGACGTAGGCACAACGTTGAACCTCTATAAATTCTTGTATTCTTTGTGTGCATGTTTACTTTTTGGTCTTGTGTGTATTTTATCTTTGCATGACTTATGTATCATAATTGCATAGTCCATCAACGATAAGGTTTTGGAGTGTTTCGCACAATAACGAGAATCAATCTTGTCGCACAGCACCTAAACGGAAGCAGAGAGAAAAGCCTATCCAACCAAAGCCATGTTTCTTTACAAAGGATTTGGAGTTGAGTTAAGAGATATAATACTACGTTTATTTTCAGTTTAATAGATATAATACTATGTGTCTTGATACATGGCAAGTGCCACGTGGTATTACAGTACCACTGCATAATTTTTCCAGACATTAATCTCCTCCTATATCTGCTCTCCCCAATGGAGGATTGTCCCAAGAATGTAGCTAAAACTTTCTTTAAGGAAGTTCATTTGTTCTGAAAATGAATTCAATCCTGGACAGTTAGTCCCTAAAACTTAAGACATGAAAGAAGGGCTTGCTTTGTCCGCAGCTACCTTGAAATGTCAAATTGGGTAACGCTTAGGTAGTCCCCAATGGGGAATGATATAAATAGGAAGCACCAACATATTTTCAAGAAACAAAGGCTATCATTCACGGCAAGACTATTTTCTGACCATATATTGGCCATATTGCATGAACCATAATTCCTTCGTTCATTCTACGGCAGATTTCCAATTTCGGCGCAAACAGTTTCAAAGAAAATTTTGAAAAGCCTACTCCTTCAATGGAAAGGACAAATGCAAAGCCAGCTCCCTCAAGAACTCAGCTTTGGGATTAAGTGAGGACAAATGCTGCTTGTTAACGCTCAACAATTTTCAGAGAAATATTACGATCAATCGTGTGTGTATCACTCTAATTTGAATGTCCTGACTCCCAAGTCTCTTCTAATTCGCCTAAGTCGAACCATAATAATGTGATTGTCACGGGAACAAGGAAGAGAACGTTCATAACAATATATAAAAACTGAACAAGGAAATAATGGTAAAATGAGCGTTATCCTCAATTTGTTCACAACTGACTCGCCCACTTTCTTTCCCTAGAACAAGTACGGTGAACTAGCCAGAACCAATCTTGTCGCATAGCAACTTCACGGAAGCAGAGAGAAAAGCCTCCCCAACCAAAGCCATGTTTCGAGTCTTTGCAAAGGATTCGGACCAAGTGTAATTTGTGGGTTTTGGATCTTCTTGTTCAGTTTTGAAGGCTATTCAGAACATTGAGTTGATGTTTATTTACTTGGAGTCGTTGAGTGAAATTATTACTGCCTAAAACTTTTGGACTTTTGTTATAACCCTGTTCACCCGTTTTGATTTAGCTCCTCTGATGGTAGGGTAAAATTCCTCATTGGCCTGAAAACCATTTGTGGTCGACAAGTCAACTTTCTTTGGTGTGCGAGTGTGCCACTGTTAGCAGTCAAGACCCTAACAGACTTATGAAAAATAGATAACTTGCGCCCCAAGTTACTGACTTTAAACAAGTGATTGTGAATTTGGGTGAGGAATATCTCCCAAGTAAGTTCTTTTCTTGCCTCAGACTGGTGAGGACTTCACAAATTTTTCACAATAAAACTAGTAGTTCTGGCCAAAATGAGTATTGAAAAATAAATCAAACTGTTTCAAAAAAGAACTGCCTATTGCATAATTTACAACAAAAGAGGACTGCCATTTCTGAAAAGACAACAAAACATTAGGCCTCGATTTCTGCTTGGTTCGTCGCCTGTGATTCAAGCTAGACTGGATGCTTCTGTGCTGGATTCGGACGTCAGCACCTTCAACTGATAAGGTTCAACTAGAAATCTATACCAATGTTGAGATTGGCAGAGCTTCAATCTATTTTAGCCATGGAGAGGCTTGCTGGATGGGCAGAACTAAGATTTCTTCAGTCTGGATTGGATTGGAAGTGGCTGGATTGATGATTTTTGTCTCGAAATTATACTTCAACACTTGTTCTGCTTAATTGTGGATCACCTACGACTTGTTTTGATGATTCTCAAACATCAAGGCCTCTCTGCAAATTTATAGAGGTTTTCATATTATGAGAGACTCGAAATCTGCTTGGTTGGCCTATGCTGAACCAAATTTGTAAGGAGAGCAATCTCGTTTACTTTGTGAAATGCCTCCTTGGGCTAAGTTGGAGTCAGACGCCTGAGTTCTGTCTGTTTTGTCTAGGAGCTGAATGGATTTTCAAACCAGATGGTCTGATTGCCTTTTGAAGGTCTTTTGAGATCGTATGATCTTGTTTGAGTTTGTCAATCTGACTTGAGAGTTTTGTCTAGATTGAATTTTTTGGTTGTCGCTCTCCTGTTCACATTCTCTCATATTTATAGAGAAATCGCATGATCAGTTTTTTGGCTGGAGGACAAATGGCTGAGATGATGCTTTGCTTTTAGCTTCAAAAAAGGGTGGTGGTTAGTTGACAAGAAAGACCCCATCAAGAGTCAGTTTTCTTAATGATCAGTTTTGATCTTCTGACAACCAACTCTTCTATCTCTTGTTTATCTCTTGTAAAACCCCACTTGCCTTGATGTAATCACGAGCATAGTAAAGAAGCGTTGGCCTTCTTTTCTAGCATTAAATGGTTATGGGGAGTGGTTTTCCGATTAAACCTTCTACCAAC